ACACACACACACACACACACACACACACACACACACACACATATATACACACACAGTATATATAACTGGATTCATTCTGAAGCTGAAGACATTTTGCTTCCAATCCAGTTTGAGAAAGCCTCCTGGACAGGAAGCAAAACATTTTCAACTTCAGWATAAAACTTCAGTTGTTTTTGTTTTTAACATTTTTTGGACTGACACAAAAAGACCAAAAATCTTAAAAAAAAAAAGACTGGGACTGTCCTTCTCTAATGCCTTTCCAGCTAACTCTAAGCTGTTTACAACACAAGCTGTGTCCTTATTTACCCATACACACATTCATACACTACTACTTCTCTTCAAAGCTAATCTAAATATAGTCTAATCAGTGCATTCAATCACATTCATACACTGATGGAGCACAGAGGCAATGAGGGGTTCAGCTTTTTGCCCAGGGGCACTGACATGTGATCGCTTTCTGGTGGAATCAAACCTCCAACTCGTTGGTTGTAGAAAGACTGATCTAACCATGGAGCACAGCCACACAGAAACACCGTTAGAGCAAATCCTTATTGTTCTTTACAAATTATAATTTTATTTAGCTCTTAAAACCTATTTTAAATACTTGTAGAAGTTTTGTGCAAATCAAACTACAATGTACAACAGCGCCAATTACAAAATAAATCCCACTCTTCACGCTTTAATGTAACATGACTGATGTAAACACAGCGATCACCCGCTGTCTGCATGCCGACCTGTTCCCTCCTCAAAACAAGCAGTACTCACCGGTTTTTCTCCTAAAATCATTTTGTCCTGTGTTTCCTTCATTGCAAACACTTTGCCCAAATTCTGTGAAGAACCTAGTGTTGATTTCCAAATTTCCCACATTTCTCTCTCTTCCTCGACTCTTTAGTGGCTTCTTTTTTTTTTAACTTGCTCTGTCGTTTCTCCCCTTTTCGATCGTCCTGCTGCGTCTGACTTGTTCCTTTTAGTCTGAAGTCTCAGATCTTCCTCAAATCCCACAGATATCAGTCAGGTGGTGGGTTGTTATTTAAACAGCATCAATGCTTCCAGTCAGACCAGCAGTCCAAGGTCCTAGGCTTTTATCTTTTTTTATATACACGTACTAAAAAGACCCATTCTTCTATGATTACAGCACTACAAAACAGGCAAGGGTTGTTGGAATCAGAATAATTTGGATGAGTTTAAAAAATTTACCTCTTTCAATAATCCTTTATTTATTAATTATACATTTACTTCCATGAATGTAGATACAATTCTGGATTCTTATTGCATAAATGTTGAGATTTAGTTTTGCTCTTTTGGAAATAAGTAGTTTTAACATTTTTAAGGGATAAAAATACAAATTTACCTACTTAATTTATGCAAATTGGTAAAACGTTTTTTTTTGTCTAAATTATTTTAGGTTTTTGAACATCATTTTTCTATTGCTCGCAAATGATTTTCACTAGAGGGTTATTTAAACCAATTCACACTTTGCCTATTCACCTCTGCAAATGAGCAACTTTAGACTTTGCATTAAAAAATTTAACTAACTCCAAAATGAAGTAATATTTTTACTATACGACAGCAGATGCACACATAACTGCTTCTATTTTTAAAAAAAGGAAACAAAAATATTTAAACAAGTTTTTTTTCAACATGAGTTTGCTTTTAATCTTTCAGTTTACATGAAAGATGTCTGTTTTGTCTGGTTTTAGGGTTATAAGAGTGGCTAGTCTTCTTCATGTCGAGTGTGTTTTTCTCATCAGATGAAAGAGTTTTTGAGAAACATTTCTCTTTCTTCAATACACTCCCTTATTTCATGTATTTATGTCCCTTTTTATCTTTTGGTGATGTAATCTCCAAAACAAAGCTTTTACCAGCATAAACAGAAGCTACAGTATGTGAGCAGGGGCACATTTAGGATTTTTGAACTGGGGGGGACAAAACATTCAGCAAATGACTTCCCTCAAAGTTATTTTTGTGTAATATGGGTTTATTCATAGAACTCAAGTATTAACTGTCATAATGGCCTAAGGGTGAATGAAAATACCATTGTAAAATTATTTGAAATTAAGGATAAACAACAATGAAAGTTATTAAACCAACATCTTTCCAATTAACACTAGCAATTTATTTTGAAACATTTATTTGTTCAAAAATACCAGTCACCAACCAAAACCTGCCTCTTCACACTTCATCAACAACAAAATAAATGTTTCTGCTGTGGAGCAATAATTTAACATAAACATTAAACCAAGAGCATCAGAAGCATTGTAATGTGTGTGAGGGGGCATTTTTGGGGGGTCTGGGGGGTCCTCCCCCAGAAAATTTTGAAATTAGTAGATGCAGTTTCCTGTATTCTGGTGCATCTTACCGGGTTCCTTAAACATACTTTTACCTACATAAAAAAACACTTGATTAAATAACTAAATTAGAGACAGATTCTAGTTTAATCATCCTGTTTTTAAACTCACTGCTATAGCTATGATAATGAAATTAATGTGACAATTTATCCCAAACAATGACTGTAGAGGAGAATTTTACTTTTTTATTGTTTGTTCTTGATTTAGTTTTATTTGTAACGTGTCATTGTGCCAAGCAACTACAGCGGGTAAAATAAGAATTGAACACGTCAACATTTTTCTCAGTAAATATATCACTAGAGGTGCTAATGACATGAAATATTCACCAGATGTCGGTAACAACCCAAGTGATCAATACATACAAAGAAATCAAACCATAAATGTCCAGAAATGAAGTTATTTGTAATAATGTGGAATGGCACAGGGAAAAAGTATTGAACACATGAAGAAAGGGAGGTGTAAAAAGGCATGGAAAGCCAAGACACCAGCTGAACTCTCTCAGTAATTAGAAAGCAAGCCTGCCCCTTGTCAGTGCAAGTTAATATCAGCTGGTTCAGTCCAAGATGATGGCCAGGTATCACACAAGAACCATCTGATGATGGGTAAAAGTAAAGAGCTCTCTCAMRACCTTCRCAACCTTATTGTTGCAAAGCATAATGATGGCATCGGTTACAGAAGAATGTCTAAACTTCTGAAGGTTCCAGTGAGCACTGTTGGGGCCATAATTCAGAAGTGGAAAGAACATTATTTCACCATAAACCGACCACGACCAGGTGCTCCTCGCAAGATTTCTGACAGAGGAGTGAAAAGAATTATCAGAAGAGTTGTCCAAGAGCCAAGGACCACTTGTGGAGAGCTTCAGAAAGACCTGGAATTAGCAGGTACGATTGTTTCAAAGAAAACAATAAGTAATGCACTGAACCACCATGGCCTGTATGCACGCTCACCACGCAAGACTCCACTGCTGAAGAAACAGCATGTTGAAGCTCCTTTAAAGTTTGCTGCACACCATTTAAACAAGCCTGTTTAATACTGGGAGAATAGAATCTGGTCAGATGAGACCAACATTGAACTGTTTGGATGCCAGAATACACATCATGTTTGGAGGTCAAATGGCACTGCACATCAGCCCAAAAACACCATACCAACAGTGAAGTTTGGAGGTGGGAACATCATGGTGTGGGGCTGTTTTTCAGCATATGGTACTGGCAAACTTCAAACAATTGAAGGAAGGATGAATGGAAAAATGTACAGAGACATTCTTGATAAAAATCTGCTTCCATCTACCAGGATGATGAAGATGAAACGTGGCTGGACATTTCAGCAAGACAATGAGCCCAAACACAAAGCCAAGGAAACTCTCAGTTGGTTTCAGAGAAAGAAAMTAAAGCTGCTGGAATGGCCCAGCCAATCACCTGACCTGAATCCAACAGAAAATCTATGGAAAGAACTAAAGATCAGAGTTCATAGAAGAGGTCCACAAACCTTCAAGATTTGAAGACTGTTTGTGTGGAAGAATGGGCCAAAATCACACCTGAGCAATGCATGCCACTAGTTTCTCCATACAGGAGGCGTCTTGAAGCTGTCATTGACAACAAAGGCTTTTGTACAAAGTATTAGATACATTTCAGTAAGTGTGTTCAATACTTTTTCCTCTGTGCCATTCCACATTATTACAAATAACTTCATTTCTGGACATTTATGGTTTGATTTCTTTGTATGTATGGATCACTTGGGTTGTTACCAACATCTGGTGAAAATTTCATGTCATTAGCACCTCTAGTAATATATTTACTGAGAAAAATGGTGACGTGTTCAATACTTATTTTACCCACTGTATGTGTTTAAACTATTAACTACACAATGAACAGACTGATATTAATAACCTCTAACTTTCAGCTCCTAAATCAACAGACATGGAGATGCATTAAATACTGGATTTGTTTTGCTTCCACCTGAAATCAGTCAGCTTTAAAAGTCAATAAAATATGATCTAACATGAATAAATTAAGAGATGACTAATTGGTCTCGTTTTTCCTCATTTGTGTTTATTGTGAAATTGGTCTTAAATTTAATTTCAAGTGACAATATTGTTGTTAAACAATAGTTCTCTGCCCATGAAGCACTGTTTTTATGTAGAAAATACTGAAACTCTAAAAAAAATAAACATTTTATTCTAGCCARTAATACAAACAGTACTTTAATTGGTTGAATTGACCAATTTCTGTGATTTACTAGCTTCAGTTTCCTCATTCTTGTCATTAAAATACAGTTTAACTGATTAAAAACACAATAATAGATTTAAAGTCATCACTGAACTTAAATTATAGCTAGAAAAAACTGCCATGGGAAAATTTTGATCTATTTTCCGGTTCTTTGTAAAGAATACAGTTTTACCAAAAGCTGGATATTATCAGAGGAGTCTGACATTACCTCTCACCAGTTGTAGCCTGTAACTCGCTGTTTATGCTGCAGAAGGCAGCCCAACGCAATGCGCACAGTCTGTGTGTGTGTGCCTACAAGTTTTTGCTACCTGGTGGGGACCATTTTCCCTGTAAAGGCAGCCTGGTAAGGACCCACTGTTCCTTATGGGGGGGAAAGCCCAGTCCCTGTTGGGGAAAATACTTTTGGTGGGTCAGGGTTAGGCTGTGTAAATGACAGGGTAAATGAACAAAAGTCAATGCGAAGTCCCCATGAGAATAAAAGAACAACCACGTGTGTGTGTGCTGCACCGCTTCAGTCTGTGTGTGAAAAATTAAGGGGAKGGGGGAGCGGGCTGTCTTTGACTACTGCTGCAGCTCTGTGGGAGCGTCAGCAAACTAACAGAACATTAATCATCAGTTTTGATCAGAGATGTTTCTTGTCCTATCAGGGAAAGTGGGAGGGACTGATCAGGGTCACTATAAATCTGGGGGGTGGGGGTGGGCATGCACCCCCCATGCTAACTGCGCCCATGTATGCGAGGAAGCTCCCCTGGACTTTACAGCTCCTGCTCACCTAAAATTATACGATTATAGCATCCTACTGGTTCTGTATAGGGCCCACAGAAACACATTACCTTTAAATATCCAGGTGGATTTTGTTAAGAGAAAAAGTTGTTATAACCTTAAAGGGACAGAGATATTTGTAAAACCCAGATTTAGAACTAGTTTGAGGGAACTGTGTACTTTAATTCAAGGAATAAGTAAGTAAGTAAACTTTATTTCTATAGCGCTTTTCACAGACCAGGGTCACAAAGTGCTGCACAAGTGTAAAAGAAATAAATAAATTAAAAGCAACATACAAAACAATAAAACACAGTATTACGCTAAAAAGCAAGTTTAAAAAAGTGGGTCTTAAGTTGTTTCCTAAAAAGAGAGAGGCTAGTGACTAACATGGATAAGCTGGCGTTAGCATCAGAGGCTAGTGACTAGCATGGATAAGCTGGCGTTAGCATCAGAGAGGCTAGCAACTAGCATGGATAAGCTGGCGTTAGCATCAG